GATATGTAGCAACTATGTATGGGACCCCGGGCCCTCTCGATATGTTCACTCCACCTCCAACAACACGAGACAAGCTCTGCTGGCTAGCTCAAAGTCCAAAGCTTCAAGGAAAGCCATCATCCCTCCGACAGATATTCCCCAACCACCAAAAAAGAAGGCCCGGAATAAGCACACATACCACTCACCACTCGCAGACCAGGCCTTGTACGATGAGAGGGCGCGAAGGCTGAAGGAGGCTGAATTGCAGTCATCCCCCGATACATCAACACATACGGTGGCTGCTACCCCACCCGCGGCTGCTGCTACCACTACAAGTGCCTCAATACCTGCCCAAAGCCCGTGGGTGAGAAGTAGTATGCAGGACTCCGCTAGCACCTTCGCATCTCGATTCCCGATGGGCATTGCCCCGGATACACCTGTCACACAGGGTCTGGACGACAATCAGCTAGTCGACATGTGGGGAAACCCTGTAAATAACACGATGCCCTATGAGCAAATGGAGAAGGACCCATCTGCTGCAAGCCGTAATGTTTGTAACTGTCATTACTCCGAGTGCAGAACCACATCTAATCTTTAAGCAGACGAATGTCGATCAGCTCGCTGCATTTGCAGAGACCAACAGGGCCGCCATTTACGCTAACTGCATCATTGAGTGACATGGTCCACCACCCGAAGACCTTCTATGTGATCTATGTGGCACTCCAGGGTCGGCAAAGTGGAGGTGTGACAGCTGTCAACGAGATCGCGACCTTTGCACTCCCTGCATGCGTCGGAGTCATATGGCCACTCCATTCCATCGTGTGCGGTACTTGACGGGAGTACAGTATTGTGAGGCATGGCTTCGTGATGCAGGGGTCTTTATCCAACTCTGTCCTCAGGCCCGTGGGTATGCGGTCTGTAGAGGCTACGAGGAGAATGAGATGGTTCTCGACCCGCTTGTCGACAGCACTCCCCCTCCATTGTATGGCAGTGCTAGAGAAGGCAGAGATACCGAAGCAGATGCTGAGGCGGATGCGGATGCGGATGCGGAGGCGGATGCGGATGCTCGCACGGAGGCAGACGCGGGCGCAGAGGCTGCACAAGACCCAGATGATCGGGTTTGGCTCGAGGATGGAAGCAGCATGGCGATGGATGAGGGAGAGGTGGATGCTTTGCCTCAAGATGTCGAAGTCAGCGAGGGAGATGGCAGTGCAATACGAGGAACCGCGCGGAAGCGGGGTCGAGCTGCACGAGTTGAAAAGGACCGCTGGGGTTACGAAGTTCATGTCCTCATTCATGAGACGGATGTCCATCAGCTTGGAGTGGCTTTCTGCAAATGCTCAGCAGGGAGGCACATACCGCATGACCAGCAGCTGCTGCAGTTCGGCGGAATTTATCCAGCCACGAAGGAGAAGCCCCGTACTGGGTTCACACTCAACGGGCTTGCATTCATGGAGGTCGATCGTCTCACCTGCCATTCAACACCAGATGCCATGTACAGGAGGCTTCGCAGGCATACATCACTGTTGCATCCTGACGCTGTACCGGTAAGTGAGATCTGTTGACAAGGAGTGCAGATCTCTCAATTTAATGTCTTATAGAATTGTTACCCCGAGACCCTGCGGGTGCAGCGTGAATATGCAGTGACTAACAAGCTCACTATCCCAGAGACCGAAACCTCGGCCAGTCAAGAGAGCGAAACCAGCTCTAAAGCCACCCAGCACTTCGGGTTTGACGAGACGATCACAAACTCCGAACAAAAGCGTGCACTTTGATACGCCAGTAGCTACACCAAGAAGAAGCAGAAGGCTAAGTGAGGGCTAGAAAGGATGTAGAGTTGTGATCGAGAATGTATATATCAAAGTTGGCAGAAGGACATTATACACATGAGCAGAGAGCAAGGGAAAGGCGGAAAAATGCGTCCAGCGGACTGCAGAAGAAGCTTTGCGAGAGCGCGGAGATCCGGCGGACCTCCGCAGATGCGCAACATCACGATCGCATCTTCGAGCACGCGGAGATGTCGTCAGCCTCTGCGGGTCATGCGGTCCGCCGGAGTCTCCGCGGCCTTCTTCTGCCCGGCCATCTCCTTCTCCTTCCGCTCCCTCTCAATCTCCTCCTTCGTCAGCTGCTTGTCATACATGGCCTCCTTGTGCCAATCACCAAGCGCAAACCCCTGTCGTACAAGTGCGCTCGCCTCAATGTTGTACAGTTCAGCCAGATCTGTCCAGTCTTGTGCGGCTTTGGCTTGAAGGGGCTGAATGTCATGTCTGAGCCGCATCATCCGCATCATGAACTCCGCGAGCAGTCCCTCCGGCTTTGAAGTCTTCTGCTGGGGCTGTAAGTAGGATTAAAGAGTTATAGAGACAGTTACACGCACAGGGAATGCAACGTCAAGTCCTCCGCGAACTATGATATGGTTCGCGAGGTCCCACTCAACCCCATAGTGCTCATTGAGGCTCCGGGGTACGGCAGGCCGGCCCTCACCATCAGTTGAAGCTAGACAATTCGAAGAGTAACGCAGCCACCATTCGGGAAGTCCGCTGACGTCGCGCGGAGGTGTGCCTCCGTGGATAACCCCAAACTCAAGAGCAGCAGGCTTCAGTAAGCTCCAGTCCCCATGGCCTCCCGTTGCAATGACTCGATTGACGACTTTCATGAACTTAGACTCAGGAGGCATCTGACCAGTGAGAAGTCTAGTACGGCCGATGATAGCCTTCAGAACGCCCTAAATGACAAAAAGTACGGTTGGTGCCGTTCAATTTCAAATCGGTGATCATTGCTCACTAGTTCGCTCTCAAACGCGGTGGCGAGGTCCGGGTGATTCCACAGGGGTTCGAAGTACAGTATGGCGGCAGCCAAACGAGTCTCCATTGATTGCCAAAATATGAGATGAGGGTAAGGAGACATGATGGCGGCAGGAGAGAAGTTGCACATCAACCATCCGCGCAATCTCCGCAAGATTGATGGGAACGAGGAAACGGCTGGATGATGTCGATGGGCTGAAGCTGATCGACAGATTAGATTGTGTCCAGATAAGTTGAGCCGCGGAGATGCCCGCGGACATCCGGAAGATTGCAATCTCAATCATCTCTTATCAAAGTTCGATCTGGGATGGAAGGGTCTAGCCGCGGATGTCCGGGGAGATAACATGGGGAATGATGTCATCAATATGTAAGCATCATCAATCAAATGGCAATCTAAGTCCAGCTTGCCTCTTACCGTCATGGACGACGAATCTCCTTTGCAGGACGGCAATGGCAATCATCTCCGCAAGGCTGAATGGTACTGGGCTGCATCTCGAATGAACAGTATCTCCGAAGCATATGCTGGTACCTTCACGGACTATGCGCTCACGGCTCCGCCGGACAATATCGACAATGCTGTTATTGCAGTGGGAGTTCAGCACAAGACTGTAGGTAACTTCAATTGTGTCTGTTAAATCTGGCCTCTTACCGCTCCCAGGCTCAAATGGAGTTGATCAGTGGCCTCCTTGCGATCGAGGGTGTAGAGCCGTCAGCCCGCACTGTACAGTTGTACAAGTCTCTCACAGATCCGGAAGCAAGTGGCATACACCGCATGCGTACGGAGGGTCTCAGTGACGGCCCAGGCTTGTTGGATACCCAGGGATGCAAGATCACGACTCCCGAACATCTCCGCCTTGCACACAGCCTCTTTGAGTTTTCTTCCGGCATGGTCCAAGGTGTACCGGACTGGTGGGAGGAAGACGGTACCTTCCATGACTCGGACAGAGCTTTGAGGTTCAGGCAGGCCGCAGAACTGTATGCCAGGGTTAAGGTAAGTTCTGATTTGATGCGCGACTACCGTATTGCTCAACAGGTGTAGCGTTGGGGTCAGGTAGCGGGTGAAAGCGATCCCGCAGTCGCCACGGACATGCAAGGGCTCTTTGCGCAGATCAATGCGCTGGAGGAGGAGGATATACGCTTCACAAAAGATCTTCGGGAGGAAGTGCATCGGCGCGAGCTTGATCTCCTTCAACAGTATCTGCAAACTCATCCGCACGCGAAGGTGCCGCCAGAGGTCCAGGCTGAGCTGGACAAAATCCCCGGAGGTCCGGCTCGCAAGAAGAAGATCGAGGAGAAGCTCGCGGAGATCCGCGACGCAGAGGGACTCGATCATTGGGGTCTCCCAAAGCGCGGACGTCCGGCGGATGCAGCATCTCCGCGAGAGGATCCGGGTTACAAGGGTAAAGGCAAAGGCTGTGAGGTTGATTGAAAGGCGCTATTGTAATGACATCTTTTACACCATGCAATCACAAATGAAATTCGCTCTGCCTGGCCCAGCTAAGAATGTCCGCAATGTACTCCCTCCAAAGTTGATGATGCATCGATCTGAGCCGAGTAGGTGGGTCCGGGTTATGAATGCGAAAGAGCCTCTGCACAGAAGGCCTAGCATAGCTGGCGAGACAGACCCGCTCTTGCGAAGACTCGCTCACACCGTGCAGGTGAGGATACCCTGAGAACAGGGCCATCATTCCAGAATCATACTGGAACCGAACACCGAGCCCGGGCATTTCCAGCACAGTTCCTGCATCTCCGCCTATGCTGAGAAGAACCTCCATCCACTCCGGACCTCCGCTCGAGCGATCGCGGTGATACGGTGCTTGGCAGTTGGCGATTACAGTGACCACATTGAAACAGAAAGACCACTCGAGTATCCTCTCGCAGATATGATCAATCCCAGAAAGTCGCTCAAGGGATGCTCGCGTCAAGGCATACTGTTCGGGGTGGGTGAGGACGAGTGCTGTAGAGACAAGGACACCAGTCTCCAGATTCTCGGCGAAGAAACTCTGAAATCCAAGTTGTCCGGCGGACGCCCGGCGTGCACCTGGCGGAGGTCCGAGATCTGCCGAGACATGAATTGAGCTTCTCCATGCCTAAACTTGATGAGCCTCACCGCAGATGAAGCCAAAATGCCTTACCGTTTTAGCCTGCTGTTGCCAGGCTGGAGAACCAGAAATGTTTCCGCGGCCGAAAGTCTTGCATCGGTGTGCTTCCAAAAACAACTCTTCTGCATGGCGCCAGGCTGTTCCATTCCGCGGAGAGCCAGGTAGCTTACAAACTACACGCGGGCCATTGGCTCGGAAAGTTGGTTCTAAAACATGAACTGATTCGGCAATGCGGGCCTGTGGCTAGTATGAGGAGAGCACTACGGGGACGCGACCTAGATGAAGTACCTGGCGATCTTTCGAAATGCAATTTGGCAAGTAGTATGCGAGAGCTTGCGATTTAATATCTTCAATCAAGGTAGGCTTGCTGAAGCTCCGCGGAGGAATCGGGTGAAACTGCTCCTGTAACCCCTTCTCAAAGCTCCATATCGACCCTTCTTGGCCACCAACAGCCGCATCATAAGATCGGTTGTCCCATGGGATAACGACTACGGTGATTAGGAAGTTCAGCAAGGTACGAGCGCAAGTGCAATGCCGACTTACCAATATTATTCTGCGCCTCTCGCACACGGAGATGAATGCCGCGGACCTCCGCCGCAAGATCCGGATGAATCCAGGATGGATAATCAAGTCCGAGCTGCCCGTCTGATTCTGCGAGTGACAGGGCGTAGTCTATAACAGCATCCAAAAAGGCCAAGTAAGTGTTGGGGGGTGGGACAGTCATCTTGACGGTCCCCCTGCATTAAGCGTCAGCGGCTCTTATAGAATCTCAACCGATGTCTTCCCCATCAGTTCCTGAAACACTGATCTGAGACGTTCAATCGACATATTCAGGCACAATATAAGCGAGGGGGTCTTTCTGCCCCAAATATTAAGCCACTGCCGTGCAAGGAGTCATTCGCGGACCCTCTATCGTGCAAGGAGTCATTCGCGGACCCTCCATCGTGCAGTGTCTCCGCGGAGACTCCGCCAGACCTTCTAGCCTAATCTTTGCTAAACCTTTGATTGTTCTTTCTTACAATTGGGCTGCTCAGATTCTCCCATATGACTTTCAACTACCGTCTTTACATTGCTTCGCAGACACTTTTGGCCTGATCTAATACTTAGCACTCTCGAATGTGGAATGATTTGCACACGAATGTCTGGAGTCTTCCCAGAATGGGACTATTCACTTGTTGCCCTACCCCCCTATTGCACCTCCAGTATTACAATATCTGATGCCGGCTGGAGAGATATATATCCGAAGCTGTTCGAAGGCACAAGAAATGCAAGAACACTCTTTTCCCTGCATAGACTGCCATGGAGCTAAACTCAAGTTCGGGCCCACAGACATTTTGCCCTCTTCCAGATCATCCCATTCCATCCGAATGTTGAAGCATGCTCCATTTGATACCCCCAAACATGATCTGGGACTGTGGTTCCAGTATATGACACACCACAGCAGTGAATCATTGCCTAGAGATGGTCTTTCAGTCGAATTTAGCAGCTGGTTTCACATGGTGTTGATGTTACTGAAAGCAAACCACCGACCCTTAGTACTGATTTGGCACATCTCATGAGACAGAACAGCATCACAAGTCTTTTCACCTGTTGATGAGCTCGATCCACGAAGTCTCCGGGTGACGAGATGGGATTGTGCAAGATTTGGCCAAGATGCGAAGTTGGATGTATATGGGCTCGTACATGCCAGTGGGATGGTACTTTTGTGTACTTTCAACTTATAATGAAGCATACTATGCCATCGTGATTTACGGTGTATCCAACGAGCCCTAATGTGCTACAGTCGTACTGCTACAGGGCATATACTGATTATTCTGCTGATTTTTGACTATATGAAATATTTTTTAAGAAGAGTCTGATTTTGGATAATATATCTATGGAACCCCACGACCCCAAATC